TAAGGCTGAGGATTAATCTGATATATAAACAGTACCATTGCTTTAGATACATGAATTTGTGTACTTTCACTTCATACCACAGTGTTGAAAAGTGACGAGTATATTTTAACATACTTTAGAAGATCCGTAATCATTTTCTCATGGTGCAGAATTTAATCCGGCATTTTCAAACGTACGTGGGCCAAGCGCAAATGCTGCAATGTATGGGACAAATACTGGCTTTTCAGTGTGTGAAAAGGCTAAGCAGTTTTGGGAAATTTGGACAAATTTTAAGGGCGTTTTAGACATTCAGAGTTTAAGATGTGATGAATTTTCACACCACTTTAAAAAATCAGTTTCTATTACCATACCGATATGCAAATTATGTAATGTATTGATTAAGAAACGGGAAGGCTGGAGTTTTTTTGAGATACTATTGAAAGAATATCATAAATGAGATCAATATTAGGTTTCATCTAATACCTCTTCTGGACATTCTTGGTTTGGAGCACGTCACTGAGATTAATTCCTTTTGGGAGGGAAAGGATAAAGGTGTGTTCAAATGCTCACAACGAGACAGTTGCTGTCAGGTAGCCATATAATTATTTTTTTTAAAAAAACATTGTTCTCTGGAAGTTCCGGTGTTGATTAGATCAGACAAATGTTCTGGTGGTGGGCAGTCTAGCTGAAGAGTCTGTGTCTTTTTAACAGCTGGACTTGTTTTCTGATCTGAATTAAAATTAAAATACGCTGAGGAGGATCAAACCCCAGTGCGTAACTAAGGGTTTGATGGGCGGTGGCAGGTTGTGTATTTACAAGTATGCATTACCTGCGGCCATACCAGCTAAACTGGCTGTGCTGCATTGTAGGAGTCAACCAGCCAGTGCCCCGAGTGGCCTACCGACCCGAGAGCAGAAACCAGCCTTTCACATCTAGGTTATAAGTTTCATTTTGGCCTATGTTGATAATGAAAGCTAGTCTCTGTAAAAGATGTTGATGATATATCAGAAGATAGGATTTCATATCACCAAGAAATAGTTACAGTTATTAATGATTTATCTTCCATCACGATGGATTAAGCAGAGAGACCAGAGATGCCACCATGTGAAGGAGTAGGAAATTCCATTTATCACTAGGTGTGGATTCCCTCAAACAAAAGGGAAGTACAGCATAAATAGTAGATTCCTGTCTCCTTCCTACACAACTATCTTTTAAAATAGTATTCTGTTCTTTATTTTAGGTAGAACACTGGGGTTTTTTATCTCATGTATTTTGGGTGGTAACCCTGCTGTGTTCCCAGTCTTGGTCATCACTTGTCAATATTAGGGTTTAGAATTGCAATTCTTTGGGTGGTACATCAAATGTAATAACAAAGTCTAGCAAATACATTTTACATGAATGCAAATCTTCTGGAAAAAATCAGAAGCTCAGGAACAAAGGCGCGCAAGATTACTAAAAGCATTGGGAAAGGTATTACAAGTTATAGGTTGATAGTAGCCTACTAACTCCACCGCTAGAGTTATGCCCTGGACATAAATTGTTTGGGAGAATAAAACACGGGCTATGATTATGTTCAGTACATGGAGACTAAATTATCCCTTGGTATAAATTTCACTGAAATGAATGGACTTACTCTGTTAGCAAACCCTTATTGCTCTGTTGGCTTTTCCATGGACACCGACAGGCGGTGTGCTGGGAGAGCCATCTCACGTTGCCTCTGCCGCCTTTTCCTTCAGGGATATTTGTCCCAGCGTTTAGTCCTCAGCATGTGTGTTATTTTCTAGTCTCTGTGCACTTTTCATTGACATTACACGTTCCCATCGCATAGCAGGAATTGGTGATAATTACCCTTTTCATTAATGTGGCTATTAGAGAGAAATCTCTACACCTGGTGAGCTGCTTAGTTTGTACGTTTGATTCTTATATATTTGTGCAGCCTTTTTGTTGACTGCACTGCAGGCCACCAGTCGTAGGAAAACCTACGCTCCCATCTCAGGAAAGCACAGCCTGTCATATAATCAATTAAAATCCATTTAAATACTAACTAGACTATTTTGCTTATTTCTCATTTGCGTTCAGGAAGTGTTTAATGCTGCGTAGCTCTCTACAGGAAAGACCCTCAGCTAAATTCATGCCTAAACTTCCTTCCCTCCATACCACAGGGTCTGTTATTCCTGACTCCATCGTTTTCTTCCTGTGTCCATACCGTAAATTGATGCTGCGTTTATTTACCAGTTACGGCACTGCTAGTATCGAACTGAATTTGAAATGCTTTTACGCGCCAGTGGCCCCAGCGTGAAAGGTGAAATATAAACCTTGAATTTATCATCAGGATTATTACATTAAGAGGCTGTATGGTTATGTATTCCCAACTGAAGAGAAACAAAGATAAGGATGTTTGCACTTGCGTGTTTCAACTCAGTATTTTAATTGACTACCATAAAAAACACCAGGTTGTGATAGAACAGCCTTTACCTTCTCTGAAATCCTGTTCCTGTTCTGGTACATTAGCTTTTCTTTGCTCTGCATTAAAATACTCTTACCTATTTGGTATTTATCATAAAGACCTTCTCAGCAAGAAAGCAACTTAAAACCACCCGATTTAGCGAACGCTTTATGTGCATAAGCAGCATGCCAATGGGTGTGGCATCCAGGGATATGACACAGGTCAATTTTTTACTTTAAAGGGAACCACTCTGCCACTTTGGGGGAAGGTGGCCACAGGCACTGGGGACACAGGGGGCGCAGGCTTTGGGGGGGCAGTGCAGCTGCCAGCTCCAGCTCCTCCTCATTTCTGAGCTGGAGGAAGCAGCGTTCCCCAGGGCGCTCTACCTACCACCCTGCTTCCTCTGTCATTCGCACCCGAGGACCAAAGCCCAGGGCCGGTTCCGCTGCGTGAGCCCACCTTTCTTTCCTGGCAAGCCAAGGCTGTCGGGGAAGGCAGTGCACGCCCCGTCATGCAGACAAGGTGCAGAGAGGATGGATGTGCATATTTGGAAACCCAGGATCTGTTCTCAAACGTGCAGACTGGATAAAGGCAGCCAGAGGGTAAGGGGTAGGTGTTAAGGGGGAGAAGGAAGGGGCCCTGATTTCTCCTAAGCTCAGGATAGGCCCTTCACTCGCCTGAAACGCCCTATTTATATATTTACCGTATTTATTAAAGCACCAGCTGGCAGCAGGTCAAGGCCTAAATGGTGTCAGTGGAGAAAATAAGGATGTTTTATCAGTCCTAGCGATCAATTATTTTAGTTGTAACTAGAGCAGGCACAACATTTTCAGATGAAAACGTAATTTTGGGAAGTATCTCCACCCTCGCCGCAGGGCGAGTGTTTTTATGTAAGGATTTACCTCACAGCCACACCACCGTTGCTTGTCAAGTGATGTCAAGACCAGCCCTGGGGTCTGGCACTCCCTCTCCTCCCTTGCCCGTTCGCCGTTGCCACCGCACTCCCGTCCCAGCACGCGACTAGCTCACACGGTATGGCAAGACCCCGTTTGCCCCCCATTTTAATCCTGCGGCACCTTAGTCCCGGGTTTATCCCACCTGCCGCTGGGGCGGCTGCTGGGAAGGACCCGCGG